AATACTTCATCCCAGTTTAGTCCTCTCTGATTTTACTTCTCAGAATTTTTAGAATATAATTTCACACCAATCTTTCACAAAAATCTTTAGTGAGCTTTGAGTCTTAGTTTCTTAGATAGGCATGGTAAGGCACCCTGTTACCTCAGCAATCAGAAGATAGAACCAAGAGGACCACAGCAGGTCTGAGGCCAGCCTGGGTTGGACATTAAGTACCAGGCCAGCCAGGGCTCCATGACAAGACCTTATCTCAAACAAGAGATAAAGAGATGGCCCACCAGTTAAGATCACTTTTCCAGGACCTGGGTTCATTTCCCAGCACCCACATGTAGATCAAGATCTTCTGTAATCCCAGACCCAAGGGATCTGATGGTGCCTCTTCTGGCCTCTGCCAGCACTACAGGAACATAGTGCAATAAACAGGAACATATACACATAAAAATAATTAAAATAAAACAAGCACACAAAACATATCTTTAAAACTGCAGGTTAAGATTATTGAATGCATTTTCTAAAACCCACTATTCTGCTTACTAAAGAAGAGAACATTTAAATACTTCTTTTGCTTATAAATTTCTGATCTCGGATTTTCCATTTTTTTAAGATTTATAATTTTTTTGAGACAGGGTGTCTCTACATAGCCCCTGGCTGTCTTGGAATCTACTATGTGTACCAAACTGGTTTCAAACTTGCAAAGATCTTCTTGCTTCTGCCTCCTGGATGTGAGGGTTAAAGGTATGTACCATCACATCCTGCCTGAGATTCAGATGTCTGCAAAGGCTGAACTACTTGTTGGAATCCTTGGATCTGTAGTTAGTCGGTGTTTGTAAGCCAACTGATGCAGGTGCTAGAATTCAAATTCCCATCTTTATGATTGAGCAAAGTGTCCTAACTGCTGAGCCATCTCTCCAACCCCTCAAATACCTTTTATAACAAGTGAGGAATATCAAGTGAGACTTGGCTACATGGGAAATGGCAACTCAAAAAGCCAATTTTATTGAGAAAGATGATCTCTCTCTCTTAAGCCTGGACTTTTCTGCAACGTCCATTCTATAAAAGCAGTTGGAAACAAGCAAGTGCAGAGTGCACACAATTCTTCCTGCTTGTGGTCATGTTGACACTCGTGCTCGGCTCGGCTCCACCTCCCCACCTGCTGGAGCCCTGCATTCACCAACAGATGCACTGTAGAACCTCATTCAGCAATGTCACAGCATTCACTGAGTTTTGGCAGTAAACTGTAGTAGAAACCAGAGCGCTAGACCCAAGTAAATACTGCGTGTTTGGCGAAAATCACTGTGGCTGTGTTCTTCAGCACTGTTTCCAAGATAACCACCAGCTCTGCTTGGCAACTGGACGCTCCCACAGCCAAGGCTCCAACTGTAAAGTTGGCTTGCAAGACACTTTCCTGCTGCTGGCTTTGGTACTGGTGCTGCCCCTAGGAATTACTAGTCAATGGTGGCATAATCCTTGAGAAAGCATGATTTTAATGAATCAATACTTTCCCATTCAAAAAACAACTATACTATGTCTTTAAGGAATAAGCTATCTGAGATGAAATTTGGGGATGCGAGATGGCTTAGCATTTAAGAACACTCACTGCTTCTGGCAGAGGATCCAGGTTCTGAACAGCGCCCAGGTGGCAGCTTACAAACTACCTAAGCCCAGATCTAGGGATTCAACCTCCTCTTCTGCCCTCCAAAGGTACCAGACATGCATGCAGAACACATACATACAAGCAAGCAAACTCTCATATGCATAAAACAAATAATTTTTTTATAAATAACAATTGAAATATCAGATATACTAAAATATTGATCTTTCGCATCAAATATCGTCATCTTTTCTTTTTGAGTACTAAGATTACAGATTTGAGACACCATTACCCAGTTCAAACATTTTCTAGGACATTTTATTTGATGATAATTTCATTTAAAAAATCTGACTGATATGCTTAGGTACTTAGATGTGTCTATGATTCATGAAAAGGATTTCCAAATGAGCCTAGCAAACAGCAGCTCTTGGCTGACAACAGGGTTGAGGCGGAGCGTAGAGCAACTGATGGGGAATCTCTAGCTTCAACAAGTGAAACCAAAACAAACACAAGCACAGCATCCAATAAGGACTGGGGAAGTCATCCTAGGCTGTCCAAAGCAGGTGTGCACACTTGCTCTGGAAGTGATGGTGATGCCAGTAAGCAGGGCCATATGTCACCACATGGAAGCTATACCATCCTCCTAGTTCCTGGCACAGACTGAAACAACCGCACACCTACTGAAAGCCTTAAAGAATATCTGACAAGTAAAGGAGTTTAGACAAATCAAAGTGTCATTCCGAGTTAATTTTTCATTAGTTCAAGATGCAAATAGACAAAACGATGCATTTTTAAAGCTGCCAAATCCAGTTATTATTTAATTTTTTTTATAAAGTAAAACCAACTAACTCTTAAGCACTGCTAGAATACTTAGGTGGTACTTTTGCACATTCAGTAAATGAACTAAATGAACAGTTTTTGTAATCTCTTCATCACATGTTTGTTTAAATAATTTCTCTAAGAAGTGAGGAAGTGTTTTTTTATTGAATGTTCAATAATATACAAAATTTCCCTGAAACCCCTAAAATAATATTAATTAGTGACTGTTTTCAGCATGAAACTAAGATGCACAAAATCCCAAGAGTCTAAATTCCATGACAGAAAAGAGTAGGCCTCCATGCTAACATTAAAAAAATAAGCCAAGTAAAATATTCTTATTGATCATAATGGAAAACACTCTTGAGTAGTTTGAGGACATAAAATATCACAAATCTGAAAAGTTGCCCCTCAAATAAGTCATGACACACCAGTCTACTAGTCAAATAAATTACTTATGTTTAAGCCTAGATTGCTGGAATGATTGACCTTAGTTTTCTCAACCAACAATAAGCATTTATGGAAAAAAAAAAAAACCAAACAAACAACTCTGTATTTTCTCTATTACTTTAGGACAAATCAGGGCCAATGAACTGCTTCTGTTCAGGTATGAGTAATGTTTCTCCCTTCTGGTCATGTGGGTGAGGCCCTGGTACAAGTTTATAGCAAACTTAGCCATGTCACTGAAAACCAAAACACAAACTTGTAAAGTGAACTACTGAGGATCTGGAAGTTGGGTGTATACAGTGACATGCCTCTCTTCCCTACCTTGTAATCAAATCAGCCCTTGCTGATCTTAAAATTGACCCCCAATCTTTCAAACACTGTACTGCTTAATAACAGCTGACAATTAATATTTATTGTGTTGTAATTTATAGTGCACTCAAAATACTTTATAAAACACACATACAAACATGAAGAGGAATTTAACTCCCCTTTAGTATTTCTACTTTCCATTAAAATGCAAATGTAATGATTTCATTAACCAGGAAACAATACCCACAGTCTTAAACCAAACCAATATATTTTCCCTCCCAGTGAATCTCAACTTCCCCTTAACATGAAATCTTATCCTTATGCTGGTTCTATCCTGATGAATTCGGAGTATGAATTTTGTCATTATAATCCTTAACTAGAGCAAAGTACCATGTGTGTGACTTGTGATTTTAAGTCCACGGATGTATTCTGCTCTACCTAGATAGGCAAACACCAAAACATTTCACTAAATTTTAAACAAAACAAAATAAAAACAAACAAACAAAATAACCCAAGCTAATTCCAATCCAGATCATTAATCAGCAGACAGAAAAATAGCTTTTAACAATCAAAAGTCTATCATGAAGGCATTAACCAGCAAGTAGCATGTCTTCTTAACTCGACCTGCCCTGGAGTCTGTCCAGGCCACACTTGATTTAGCCACACGTAGAAAACTCTCCATAGAAACCCTTTCTAACAGTAAGCAAAGCAAGTCTAGTGAAGAGAACCAAGATTGAGTGGAGAGTGGGGAGGTGTGTGTGTGAACGACCAAATAAAAGAGTAGATGCCAGAGTTTAAGGAAATTTGGGGTGGACTGTGAGGGATCTTGGCTAGGATTGGGTTTCATTTCTTTGGGCGCCCCTGACCTTGCCTTCTCCAACTCTCCAACGCTTCGCCCGCCCCCTCCCCCGGCCTGCGCCTGCCTTTGTGTGTGCCTGTCACTTACCGGGGTAACAGAACGAAGCTGATTCGGGGGCAACACAAAGCCAACACAAGGATTTGCACAGATTTTCTCACACACATTTCTTAAACTGGAAGGCAGCCCACGCAGAGCTTGTGAACCCTGAGAAAAGTGGGTTCTGGTCTTGTTTGGGGGAGCAGAGAAACTATTCTTTCCTCTCTCACTCAGCGCCACTAACAAAACGCGCGGACTACAGAGAAAAGAAGAAGAAGAAGAAAAAACAACAACAACAACAAAAAAACCTCCACATAGTGGATCTTGAATCCACTCACTGTGACATTTGTCTTGTGTAGTCGCCCAGAGAGGGACAAATGTGCTGGAAGCCGGAGACACAAACCCACAGGACCCAAACAAACATCACTGGAGAGAAAAAGAGTCAAAAACACCGGGTCCGTGTTCTTTCCGGGGTGTCTGAGGAGGAACGAGGGGCTCCCAGGACTTACACTGAGGACGGGGGGAAAGAGGATCCAAGGGGGAAGCGGTGGTCCCCCCAACACGAACTCTTTCAGAAAGGCAGCCCCAGGAAAACACTCACTTTCCCGAGACCCAAAGGCCGGGAGAGCGGCTGGTGGGAGGTACAAAGGTAAGTTTTCGGGGTGCTGTGGGGGGACACGCATTAGCAGGAAGAAGGGAGCCCAGAAGTGCAGGCTGCAAGAGAAGAGGGTGCTGAATGAAAACTCTATTTGTCAGCCATGTTGAAGAAGCTCCAGTAATTTGTGAGGCTTCCCCCTTCCCTCTTGGTATTTGTGGGTGACATGACAGTCCCCTCCAGGCCGAGAGCAAGAGGGGAGGGCTGGAAAGGGACCGTTCGGAGGCCGAAAAGAGTGGGGGGGAGAGAGAGGGGAAGAGGGCGACAGGCGCGGACAGCAGCGCTCTGACCTGGTTCTGGTCCCTCAGCCTGGCAGTCCGCCGCCGTCGCAGCCGGGTCTCCTTTCTAACAAATCCTACAGGGCAGCCATCTTGCTTCCTTCTGCTCCTCTACGAAAGCAGCCTCGCCTCCGCATCAATATTCATAAGGCAGTTTGACGTCTGTTCTCCCGGCTCGGCGGGGCCGGCTCTCGGGCGGCCGCCGAGGGGGCGGACGTGACTGGCATGCGAGCGGCGCGGGCGCGGGCTGGGCGCACGCTCGTTCGCGGGGGCGCGGCGGGGGCCCCCGGGGGCTGGGCGCTCGCTCCCTCGCTCGTTCGCGGGGGGCTCGGGGCCTCCTCTCCTCCTCGGCTCCGCCCCGGCCTCTCCGCGGAACCCCCCCCCCAGCCCGCCGGCTGCGCCCCCCGCCCTCTCCACCCCCCCGTCCCCCGAGGGGCCGCTCGAGCACTCGGAAACTCTGCGTCCTCCCGGGTGCCCTCCGGAGTGCCCTCCTGGGTGCCCCCCCCCCGGGCCGGCCCCGCGGCTCCCGCTCCCCGCACCCCACCGGGTCGGGTTCCCCGCTCGCCCCCCGCCACCCTCCCTTCCCAGCCGCCCGGCCAAGCCGCTCCCCATTTCTCCAAGGCCGTGCCCGGAAAGCTCGGGGGGCCCCCCGCGCGTTACAGACTCCAACAGGGCTGCAAAGCGGCGGCGCCCGGCTTCTCCCCGCCCAGGCCCACCTTCTGTTTACTTTGGCCACGTGGGCTGCGCAGGGGGGCAGTGTCACCGAGCCAGCAGGAGTTGGGTCTCTGAGCCCCTGCTTGTCACTAAGGAAATCAGCCTGCAGTTTCTAAGGCTCAAGTCGCCCCCGTAAGTTCCTCTATTTTGCACAAATTTCCACTCAAGTACAGTTAAATAATGAAGAAACCGCCTGTGGGAAGCTGAATTCGGAACCAGCGGCGCTCAGTTTTCCCTGAAGTTCAAGGCTTGTGCACACCAGCTCTTCGATTGGCCATTTTCGCTTTTCCTGCTGAGTCGTTTTACTTATGTTTTTTTAATGTTCCTTTTGGTAACCATTAACTTTTGAAGATGAGATCAAGACAAACCCACGGGAATAATGAGACAGAAGTTCAGAGAGTGTGCGTGCGCACTCACCCACCCTCACATCTTTAAGTTTTCCCGTCACTGGAATCTAAATTTTGAGTAGGTAGTTTGGGAACCTCTTCCATGGGATCAGTTGCGACCACAGCAACCTGAGGTCAACCTAAACACCATTAGATTGTCTGTAGACCGTTTTTTTTTTTTTTTTTTTTTTTTTTTTTTTTTTTTTTTTTTTTTTTGGCGAGTGCATCCGTGTGTGTGTGTGTGTGTGTGTGTGTGTGTGTGTGTGTGTGTGTGTGTACGCGCGCGTTCTGAGTCAGCCCTGGCACACAGTCACACAGTCAACACTAAAGAGGAAGGCAGAGTGTGGGAATTTACCAATAGAATAAAGGCGCTCTTCTTTCAAGCCTATGGGTGTAAAGGTAAAAGAAATTACATAAAGTAATCCTCTGACCTACCTACACATGTGTGCTGTGGCATGCACCCATAAATACACAACTCTCACTCTCAAACAGAGAGAGAGAGAGAGAGAGAGAGAGAGCGAGAGAGAGAGAGAGAGAGAGAGAGAGAGAGGAGGCTGTGACATCTTCCCTTCGTTTCATGAAATGAAAACACTTCTTTGTGAACTGTCCTCAGGTAAGTGCACAGACTCACAGCCGAGGCCGGGAGCTTCATGTGTCACACTGTCACTGAGAAGAATGCTTGCAGTAAGTTCTAAGGAAACACTGTTTCTTCCAGTTAGAAACAATTATCGAGGTGTGATCTCACAAGCCAGTAATCAGCATTTAGCTAGGCTCTACGGCAAGACCTTATTTCTGAATTAATTACTTCCTTTTGAGGCTGGGTCTCACTGTGTAGCCCTGGCTCAGCCAGAACTATGTAGACCAGGCTACCTTAAAACTCACAGGGATCAGCTTGCCTCTGCCTCTCAAATGCTGGCATTAAAGGTGTGCTCCAGCCATGCCTGGCCTTTAAATATATATATTTGTTTATTAAATTACTAATTAATCATATTTGTATGAGTGTTTTGCTGGCATGTATGTCTGTGTACCATGTGTGTGACTGGTGCCCAAGGAGATCAAGACAAGGAGGCCAGTTACAGATGGTTGTGAGCTGCCATGTGGGTGCTGGGGACTGAACCGAGGTCCTCTTACCCACTGAGCCAGCTCAACAGGCCCTTTGTTTTTGTTTGTTTGTTTGTTTGTTTTTGATTGTTTACCAAACATCCCCAAGCGTTTGTTGAGTTCATGTGTAAATCCAAAAGTGCCCACTAGTGACCAGGCCGAAAACAGCCACACTTTTCCAGTTGAGAATCCCTCCAAAGCAGAGGCATTCTCCGATCTAAGTTTTGCCAGAGACAGCCTCTGAAGCCTCAGCGAGTGTCTACAGTACCCTTGGGAGCCCTGTTAGGGACCTGAGGACTATCTAGGCAGACCTGTGGTTTTGTCCTGGGCCCTTTCCTACGTTTTTGCCTTCTCTGCTCAGAGGATCTCAGGCCATGGTGACAGGCCTGTGATGTAAGTACTCAGGAGCTGTGGGCTGAAGGGTGATCTGCTCATGGTCATAATTGGCCACACTGAATTCTAGGCCAGTCTGGGATACGTGAGTCCCTGTCTTCAACAGAGTGCCCAATCAGAAACCCAAAATTCCCTTTGAGGTTCTGGGGTCTTTCCTCGGTTATTCAGCATTTCCTGTCTAATGCACTGACTAAAAGAACACCCAGGATTGCCCAGGAGTAGGGGTCCCATCCTGCCACAACCTGTACCTACAGGGGAGGGCAGCAGGTGATCCACAAGTGCTGACCTCCACCTTGAATTACCTTTCAGGTCAGGCTCTCTGGGAGTTTTTGGAAGGCTGACCAGCAGGTAGGTGTTAGAGGTGCTTGCCACTCCAGTCAGGCAACCTGGGTTAGATTCCCAGAGTTCTCATGGAGGTAGAAAGAGAGGGCTGACTCAGCAGGTTGTCATAAGACCTCCACAATTGTGCTGATACAGGTACACACACACACACACACACACACACACACACACACACACACACACATCTCATTTTTCAAGTAAGGTATGTGGATACATGAGTGTTGAGTGCATAGACCCATGTACCAGAATGTTTGTGGAGAACATAGGACTTCCACACCTTCACTTCCTACTCAGGTTCCGGGAGCTCAGCTTAGTTCAGTCATTAGCCTTGGCTGCTGGGGATGGCCTCCAGTTAGTCTTCAAGGACCCAGTAGCCCTTCTGCACCGTTGAACAGACAGCCATCCATTCCGTTCCATTTCCCAGTGGGAATCTGGCTTCTAAAAGGACTAGTAGCAACTAGAGTTGTGTCTTTAAGGGCCAGGAGGCATGAATTGTGCCATAGTAATTATTTAATTTTAAGCAGAAGAAAAGAGAGAAAAGAAACAAGCAGATTACTGATTGTGTGTTAACCAAGCAAAATTGTTTGCTTTCCCTTAAGTATTTTGTGTGGAATTAAATTTCTATCTTTTCTGTCTCTCCACTAAATGCGTCATCTAGGTGTTCACAAGTTTCAATGAACTTTGAAACCCAGGAAGATTCCTTATAATTTTTTTCTTTCTTAACTCGGATGTGAAATTCTACACAGACCATGAAATACATTTATGTAGTGCATAGGATCCCAGAGTTATTGGAAGTATGAACATTAGAGTTGAGCAGGCTTGAGGACCTTCTGCCTGGATCTCTTGCTGTATGAACCCAGACATGTTACATAACTCTCTGAATTAGCCCCCCCCCCCCCCCCCCCAGCCTTTAAGCCCTGTAAAACACAGCATTGTTGTAAGGATTAACTAAGACTCCAAGTATGTGTGTAGGTACTTATTAGGCTTATCAGTAGTAAGGCATCTACTTCCAGGAGTATTTCCTGACTAACTATAGGAATATATACATAATTATATGTCTTTCTATGCATAGTAATAGATGGGAAATCTAATGTTGGTGTGTATGTTTTAATGTGTATGTGGGGGGGGGACAGGCTGTATGTGTGTGCATCATGCATGTGCAGGTACCTGCAGAGTCCAGAAGAGGCATAGGAACCCCTGGCACTGGACTTACAGGCTGTTTGGGGCTGCCCAGTGTGCATGCTAGTTAGGAGAACTCAGGTCCCCTGATAGAGGAAGAGCAACAGGGGTTCTTAACTGCCTGGCCATCTCCCCAGCTCTGAAGTATTCAAACCCCCACCCCAACCCATCTCTCCAGTATCACTGTGTAATTTTGGCCAGGACTCACTAACTAGACTAGGCTAGCCTCAAACTCACAGAGACTGCTTGCTCTGTTTCCAGAGTTCTGGAGTTTGAAACATGGAATATGTTTGATATGTCTGTAAGTTCCTTTATTTATACTAAAATTAGTTAAAACAAAACAAAAACAAAAAACAAGAAAACACAACATTAAAGCCATTTCCATGGTTCATTCTTTAAAACCTTTCAGTTGTAGCAGGTGGTTTTTGTCTATCTGGAAGCATGTTTGGGTTGCAGTTGCTTTTCCTGAACAATTTTCTTGCCAAGTCCTTTTCTCTGCATCCCCACCCACCCTTAACTACCATGGCATTTATGAGTTTAAAAGACAATAGATTATTCTTGTTGGCCACTCTGATTTTTCAGCAGCAAAATGAAGTGAAACTATGAAAGTCTGTAGGTAACACATTTTTGCTTCTCCATTTTTGTTTTGTTAATTTAAAGAAAGCCTCCTTTCTTAGCTATTTCTGGGAAAGGAAGGGTCTAGTGTCCATAATCACATGTTTACTGCCATTAGGGTCCATCTGCAGAAGCAATTCAGAGCCAGCTTTTATGAATACTATGCATTCTTGAGGAGATGCAAACCCCCCCCACCCCCCCACCCCCAGGTGTAGCTAATCTTGTTTTTAAAAGATAATTTACTGCCTGAACAACAGCTGATTGTTATCAGCTCCTTTGCTATTTCTCCAAAAAATGAGAAATAAAAGCTGCTGCTGCCACCACACCACAGTCTTTGCTTCCTAATTGGGGGGGGGGGGGGGGGGGGCTAAAAGGACGAGTTCCGTGCCATGCTAGTTTGTGTCAAAAAATTGACTTGATTGGCCG